TGGTTCTGAGACGTTGGCTGGCTGGGCTAAAGAATGGTCCGGTTGGCACGGACGGTGGAGTCTGAGTGGCGGGCGTCACTATGGTCATTTGACCCATAGTTGCCGATGTGGTGACCCTGATTGGTGGTGACAGCAACGTTACTGTCCCCGTTGATGATCCCTGGTTCACTGGACTCAAGGGCGTTGGTATGGTCGGCGGTTGTCCCGTTGATGGCTCCGTTTGGAACCGTTGACGCGGTAACGTTGATGATGATACACTGGCTGCTGGTAGAACCGTTGGTCCTGCCGCAGGGCCTCGTTGACTTTTTCTTGTCGACGTTGTGTATCCGAGTCCGGAAAGGTCGGTGGTTCTGCGGACATCTCGGAATGTAAATTCTCGAGATGTAATTTTTTCGCATCTAAACAGGTGTTCTCCGTGCTTACCCTTCCGGGTCCTTGTTAAGTTCAGTAATACGTTGGGCGGCCGCCTGGTAGTCTTTAACCAAGCCGGCATTGCTGGGCTTCAATTTGATGATCCGGTCGTGTTGGCCTTGAATCACCTGTTTGGCTTGGCTGAAGGCCTGCTCCAATTGGACAAAATTCTGTTGCCCAATGGCGCTGTTTTGCACAAGTTGCGCTCGAATCGTTGATTCGATTCTGAGCTGGCTCGGGAGCGCAGCGATCTGCTGCTGTAGTTGCACGATCCGTGCTGCATTATGTTGAACCGTTTCGTCCAATAGTCCTCCTTGTTTGGTCACCTGGCCGAGAGTTTGATGATTCTCATACAGCAGGTGAAATCCGCTGCGCAGGCGATTAATCTCGTCCTGCAGCTTGGACATGTCGTCGATAAGACGATCGTTTTCTGTCTGAAAGTGGACCGCCTCAGAGTCAGTTTCGCCGATGATGATTCGACTTCCGGCCAGCCGAGCAAACAGTTTGTTTGTCTGTTGAGGGTTTATACCGGGCCCGCATTTTATGGCATTTTTTAGCATTTTCCAATTATTTTGTGAGTTGCCGCGACTTCAAAACAATCGTTATGCAAGTTATTGCCATTTCTTGCATCTGACCTTGGAGTTTATTATACAACATTCTCAACGGGAACAGTGCGAATGAGATGGATACGAGCAGTTTATAATGTTTTACCGGCGCACTCCCGTTTGTATTTCCATCCGATATCACTGCTGAAGTTAACAACTGAATATTTGCACATGCCATACCAAAAAATCCAGAATTGGCCACGGCAATGTACCAACCTATAACATTTTTTCCGTTACCTTCGAAAGTGTTATGGGGCTAAATAGCCAAGGACTATGAAACCCCAGTTTGGGGCTGAATAGCCAACTAACTATTAGACGGGCTCCACTGGGGCAAAATAGCCCAGTAGTTATTTTCCCCCCACACACTGGAGCAAAATAGCCACTCCGTTAAGAAAATCTATACATACTCTATGTCGTCGTAATGTCGATAAATGTCCGTACTGTCGGACATGGTTGGAATAGCACAATGGTGAGCAGAGAGAGAGCATACGCAGGGCGCGATGATGATGTAGCCGTAGTAAAGGGTGATATGGCGGATGTGGAAGTGCACGGCGGTGACATTGGGGAAGGGGAAGGACAGCAGACGCAATAGCTAACGTTGCGCACCATCGCCGTGCTTACGATGTCCCATTCCGGTATTCCGCTGCAGCAGAAGGATTAAGCGGTTACACCCTGCTTTATCGGTGGCGTGCTTGACGTACCCTACCACCTGTACCCAGCTTTATCGGTGATGCGCATTGAAAGATTAATGGCAGTAATAAATAGCGCCTTTCTTGGAAGCCTTTGTAAACACAGCTGTAAATCGCACTTTTGATTCTAATCGAACCAGGAGCACACCACAATGTCACATGCAGTGCTGCCATTCTTCACTTCCGTCACACACTGGCATTATTGCTCCGTAGAGAGCGACAGAAGGTGCGGCCAGAGGGAGCTCACCAACGTACTATCAAAGTTGCTTGTTTTTTGTGGAGCACGACGCCTTCCACGCTGCCTCAATGCCCACACCAACGTAAATCAAACGTGGAGGTCACTAACTTCTTCACTGACTTGCGGTACTGAAGGCTGCATCTGATTAACTATTTGCATGTGAGTGCGGCCTCCTGATTAGCTCCTGGTGTCCTGGGAGTGCGGTTACACACAAACAGCCGAATGCCTGAGTCAGCCTGACCACACCGTCAGGGTGTCACTGCGGTCGATACTGTTCTTTAACAGCTCCTGACACGCCTTCAGGACAAAGTCAATCTCCCGCTCATACCACTGGTGAATAATAAGTTCTTTATTTGATTGTGTTTACTGAGCGGTCCTCGCTGATGCAAATATCGAGAATAAACAGGTCCGATTATTTATTGATTTGTTCGTGTTGGGTGAGATTGCTTGCTTCCGCTACGTTCCGGTTATCTTAAGTCGCGCCACTAACACGTTCAGTGACTTACAGTAATTGGGTCGTATAGGAGATCAAAAAGGGATGCAGCCTGTTATCAGCATGGTGATCAATGTTCGTTAGGAACGATTAGCTATTAATAACAACGGCACACAGCCAGCCATTATATATATTATATTAATAATATATATACTTGTACGTAGATACAAATTCGCAGTCAGGAAGAAGCGTCTGGATCCGAATGCGCTCCGGCAGAAACGCTTGGACTGGAGTGCGCAAGGGTTACATAATTACCTCTCTGACAAGAGTGAGCTGGCACCCGGCAGGTGTCGTGCTCAGCTCGCACCTGTGTGTGCGGCGATTGACCTGTCTTCTCTGCGCCTTTCGACATCTTGCTTTTTACTTTGAGTTGTACTGAAGAAGAAAAAGAAACAGAGGTGTGGCGGGCTAAAAACACATCGAAACCGCTGGTGATTGCACACCTGGAAATAGCTCAGTGCTGCTGAAAAGTCTTGTTTAGAGGCAACAACTGGACAGTGAGCACAAACGGGACGCTGATCCCACGAACATTGTTAACAATATTTAACATGTTAAATTGTAAATTGCTTAACGTGGGTACACTTAACGTGCGTCATAAAATCACGAGTGACTCCAACGATTTTGGTTGTTTTTTCAATGTTTAAAATTTACGCTTTTGATTAGTGTAAAGCTGCGCACGCGAATTCTTATGTGTATTGGCTGATTGCTTAATAAAATTAAACGCAATAATTAATTTATTATTGCTTAATAAATTGTCATAAGTGGATCACTGTTATTGAGATCACACAGTGAATCACAGGTAAAGGGACTGAATGTCGACATCAGCGCAGAAAACGGCTTGGTTGACCTCTTGACAAGAAAGCAACTGGACGTCGGAATATGAGCTTATCTGACAATCATCTTTTTTTTGTCAATGCCATAGAACAGAGCCAGCTTACTTTCTATACTGTGGTAGGCTCGTGACGGAAATCTGGAAACTGGTATTTCCGTTTCTGTCGTTGAATAACGAGACAAGTACAACGACATCAAGGCAATAAAAGCTAAAAGAAGAAGACCGTTTCTGAAAAATATAAATACGCAGATGCAGAGTACGGTATCTTAATGCGGCAAGTATAAGAAAAGTTTTCGATGGCATGAAGCAGAGTAGAGCATCCACAGACTTATTCTCATAGATCGTTGGGCATTCGCCAAGAAAATTAAGTCTGTAAGTGCTGCAGGTTCAAATTGCATCGCCATATGTAAACGCACTAAGGATGTCTAATGACTATTACTACTATAAGGGCACTACTATAAGCCAGTGAATAGGCACGAATTATGCGATTATAAAAGTCCCGCGGCCGATCTCATTTCCTGGCAGAAATGAGATCGGCCGCGGGACTGCGATACAGCGTTGGTAATCCGTATCATTTCCGTTTTGTGCAATGGTCTTTTGCTGGCCATGTATGCCGTTCCGCCCCTTCTGCGCAGCGGCTTCATTATCTTTATTTGGCTATCTGTGGGGACATTATCGGCGACGGCGCACGCGTAGAATGGCGTCGGCGGTCGGCTATCGGTCTGCGCCGGGCTCTTTGCCACATTCTGCTCTAAAGTGTGCAAGCGGCGACCACTGTACTCGAGCAGCTTGCAACCGTATCCGGAAGATTCGCAGTCCGCACGCCTGTAAAGGGTCTTCAGCGCACTGCCCAAGATGGCGCTGTAGGTGCTGATCGTGGCCCGCTGTGCGCTCATTTTGAGTGCCCGCTGACGAAAGCAGCGCGCCTGCACCACATGCGGGACGTCGACGCCGGTTGCGGACAGCAGTTCGCAATTGCCCACGCAGTCAACACGCCGCGGCAGTGAAGAGGTCACTGGTGGGAGAGGAATGGCTAGGCGCACGCGCCGCTCGCAGCACAACGTGCGCATCCTCATCGTCCTGACCGGACCGGAAGCGTTGGGGCCGGTTGGATGTCGATGAACGTGCACTGTCTGATGCTCAGTCGCGCGAGTGATCGCACCTCTGACCGCATTGCCGACATCATTAACATGTTGCGCTCGGCCATCAATACGCTGCGTTTACTGGGCTACTGCTCCTGTCAGTCTCACAATGCAGTCAAGGCTTTACTTTCAAAACAAAACAAAATTCTCCTTTGGGCAGCCGTGTGACCGCACTGTGATCACTACGATATTACAGAGTAAATAAATATCTTTCTGCTCAGCTGCTCTTTGGTTCCTGAATGTCCAGCCCGTGTAAGAGTCGACGTTTTTGAAGCGCAATTGTTGATTGGCTGTGATTTCCGATGCGTATTGTGAGATCTGATCTGCTAATCGTCTGAACGGTTTCCACTTGACACTGCAGACACCGCGTGATCAGAAGCTGCTATTCCTCCTAAAGAAAGGCCACCGAGCAGTTGATTAAGTTGCCCTGTTGAAATGGATGTGAAGTTTGAGCTCAAGAAAGTCATCTGAATGTCGCACATTTCCCGCTTGCTGGATTGTGCAGTCTTCCGTGGTTGTCCAGCTTCTGTGGTTATTTTTATAGATGCTGCTACGTGAACCGGGTGGCTAAGCAAAACGGCTGTCTGATATTATAGCACCACCTCCATCTCGAACTGCACATCGTCCACCGGTCCGGCGGTACTCGTTCTAACGCTTCCACTACTCTTCAGCATGAAGATGACCACGGCGGACGGTGTTTTTGCCAGCATGGTCACCCTGCAGAGTTGCGCCGCTCCGGTTCGTTGCCTTTATTAAGCACCGACATTCGCTAACAATTTCCCGTCCTTCACCGACGTCACCACGTGATTAACATCCTCCGCCTGGATCGTCACGCCCTCCAACGACCGCCTGCCCTCATGGGGCCCTTGTGCACCTCGATCATGGAGGCAGGTTAATGGACGCTTGCTGACCTCCCAGAAGGAGGCCGGGTGCTCGACGGCGGGATACCTCCAAGTTTCAACACCACAGCCCCAGCGTGATCTCGAAGGCGTTGCTGCGAAATTATCTGCAGTCTTGCCAACCCCTCCGCTACCGGGTAATGTTTGGCGCCGTTGGGGAAGCCGTTCTTCAAGTTCTACGGCAGCGTTTGATGTATTCCGGCAAGGATGGCACACAAAAACATGGCCTGGTATCCCTGGGAATTCACCTCCGCCACCTGCTTGAAGATGGCGTCGCCGGGACTCTGGCTGTAGACGGAGGAGCCGCCGGTGGGGTTCTGCTGGAGGTCGCCGCAGGAGTAGCTGACCGGCGGCGAGCCCGTGGAAGAGAATGAAGGAGCAGCGGTCCAGGACATGATGACGGCCGTCTTTGGCTGCTGGCGGGCGTTGTCGCTGGCAAATTGGTCGTAAAAAAAGGTTGAAGGGATGCGGTTGTCCGTCCTGACGCGGTCCTGTACGCAAAGTAGTCGCTTGAACAGGAGGCCGAATCCGTTGGGGTTCACGGAAGGCAGGATGTGGATGTAGGCGGCATTGATCAGTGTCTGAATACCGGGTGATACGGCGCGTCGTTTTAGCTATCCAGGAGGGTCTGGATCAGCAGCAAGAGTGTGATGTACGAGCACGATTGGTTTCACGAGATTCCTGACCATTGTCTTGGCAACACTGACAGCTACAAAATAATTATCTATGACGTCATTATCTATGACTATGTTGAACGTATACGGTATATCAGGTTGTATTGGTCAAATCATACTCAGTACATAATTGTCAGAGAAAACAAAACACAAAACTACAATAGAAAATATTGTTGTATTGTTGTTTCTGTTGTGTTGTTTAGTTCAGCTGCCATTTGGTTAAAAAACAGTGCAAGTCAATACGTGAAAACGAGTAACTCGCGGCCCACCACCTCCTTGCGGTGCATGTTGCCCACGTAGTTAAATTCCGGCTTGCCCTCAACGAATGCCATCATAATTTTAGCCATACCGAATGACATCAGATTAACATCATTCATAAATCATAATCAATCAGCGTGCGTCGAAAGGTTTTTCTTGCAATCTTTCTTCGAGAAATAATGAAGAATCAATAACAGCTGACAAACGGGGTGTTTTGCCAACGTCCAGTCGTGAGCCGTAGATGTCGTTTGCGACTTTGCGGCAATCGCGATATTTGTAGAGGTTGGTCTTCTGTTAATTTTGATGTACAAGTAGTTAGTACTTACCTGTCGCAATGACAAACATCATCTGTTGTGAAGGCGTGGTGTTTAAAACGTGGCAGGGAAAGTCCGTGTGAGTCTACGCTGACTTCCCGGCGTCTCTTAGGTATCTGACTCTCAACCGCCCAAGGGCGGCGTGTTGTTGCCAATCGGAACCAGCAGCAATGCTGATACGTAAGTACTGTACGTTACAACTGTGTAAAGTGCTCACTGCTCACTGCTCAGTATGCTCTACGCTGTAACTTCAGTTTTACAGTCAGCTCTTCCTTATCTTGTCATAGAAGCTTTTTTGAAAAGTTCTTCCTGTAAATTCGATCATTGTTTTTTTTAAAATGTCAGCGTCGCCCGACCCTGAACCATTCATCATTGGGAGCAAGGATATGGGGGACAAATGCAAAAGAGCTGGGCAGATCGCTAACAGTAAGTGTGCAACTGGTGCATCCACCGCCCGTTTCTCGTGTGGTCCTTCTCCGATCCCTTGCAGTCACTAGTGCGCCGTCCTGAACATATCGTAATCCAGTTAAGCCTGTGATTTGCGTGGACTGCTCAGAGCTCGCTGCATTCGTATGCGGGTACCAGAAGTAGAGAATTCACCAGATTCTTCTTTTTGGTTACAGAAGTTGTTGACAGCCTTCTGGAGAAATGCGTGCCCAGCCAGTCAGTGCGGGAACTGTGCGAAGCGGCTGATGCCATGATCGTCGCGGAGACATCGTTGGTTTTTAAAGCCAACCTGTATAAAGGTTGGAGCAGGCTTTACTGCCCAGCGCTGTGGTTTTGTAGTTGCCGTTGATATGTTGATGGAGTACAGTGCATTGACAGGTGTTGCTTTTCCAACATGCATCAGCGTCAACAACTGCGTCTGCTACTTTTCCCCCCTCAAGGCCGACCCCGACCGTCTGCTGGATCACGGAGATCTGGTTAAAATGTATGGAATTGCTTTTATGTACCGTAATTGCTTTATCACTGAGCCGTGTTTGTTTGTTTTGTTTCTCCAGCGAATTGGCCGTCCACATTGACGGATACACCGCCAGCGTCGGATATTCACATGTTGTTGGCGCTACGATGGTGAGTTTTTTTTTTTTTTTCAGGCAATAGCCAATTAAACGTAACAAAAAGCCTGCGCCGAAAGACACTAATTAAAAAGTTTGAATTTACACATTGAAAAAACAACCAAAGTCATTACTGTCACATCCAACTTTCGGTCGCGCGTTTAATGTACCCAAGACAGCAGCCGCATTTCCTTTAACAACAGCGAGACTAAAACGTTGTCTAAGGAAAGCCGTAGATCGAGATTCCCCGGTCACATCGCGAATCTTCCTCCCGACAAAACGTATCATCTCAGCAAATTCCGAACCAAAAGTTCCAAGGGTTTCGACTGCGAGGGTGTAGAACAGATACCCCATATCCTCCAAAAATCCGTACTTCCCGCGCTTAAAGTCTTCCGCCAGCCGTGCCACGTTACCTGGCTTCTTTGAGCTGGCTTTTACGTGCGAGGTAGCAGTTGCAGTACGTTGCCTTGTTTTTGAACTGAATTCGGTTTTTAGTGGGTGTTGACTTCGTGACATGTTGCAAATGCTGCAAGAATAGCCAGAGAACTGTTTTCCAGCTTGTAAGCACAACGTGGGTGATTGCAGGACAGTCCGGCGAGCGGACGCCACGCCGACGTCATGCTGGCAACAAACGCCGCCATGGAGGCCTACTCGCAGCTGATCAAAGGCGGAGTTGAATTTGATGTGCGCCTGCATGAGTGTACTCGCTAGTTGAACACGTTTCAGCTGATAATGCTTGTTATGCTTTTGGTAGTATTGCAAAGCAAAGCGAATGGTGGAGACCGTAGTCCAGGGCTTCCAGTGCAAGCTAATGCACATGCTCCCCGAAGGGAAAACGAAATTCCACGTCAACGAAGTCGCTCAACTGGAGATTCTGGTCAGCACGGGCGAAGGGCTGGCCTACGAGTACCTGGACACGGAGAGCAACATCTTCCGCTGGAACGACCTCTCCGATTCACTACCTCGCTCGGCTTCTCGTGGTGCGAAGAGTGAGTGCGAAATATCGAGTGCAAGCTACGTACCTTGTCATTTATCGGAGTAATGCAGTACGTAATCGGTATTTACATAATCCTGCTTATAATCGAAAATATTATTTTCCGTTGCCCGTGTTACTTGTGTTGCTTGTCAGCATGGCTTCCTTGCCCTAGACTGAATTTTTAGAAGAAAGTTTCTTCTAATTTCAAGAAACTGACTTCGCAATTTACAGTATAATTTTTTGTAAAATCTCGGTATGATCGGACTTATCGCACCTTTTCGGTATGATTGCACTTATTGCCAGCCATGAATTATTCAAAAGTAAAATTAAGTGACGAGACAAGTCAGAACACCAGTATTCACCAGTATGACGAGCATTCACCATTACGACAACTGTCGACAAGCATTCACCAGTACGACGAGCAGTAACTATTAAAATTAATGATTAATTATTGTTAATACGTATTACGTGCAGTGCGTACAGCACGATACTCTGTGCATTAAGCTGGTTATAGGTAGCTGCTAGCAAAACTGCTCTTTTGCCTAGCGTACTTGTTACTGTTGATGTGTTGTGTTGTTGATTATCATTGCATGGATTGCTTAGAATTCCTCGCCGAAACTTCTAGCAAGTATGGAACCTCGAGTTTTTCACTGAGGTACTTTGACGACGAGGAGACCGCCCGCCTGTCCGCCCAGGAGTGCGTCGATCACGGTATTCTGCTGGGGTTCCCGGTACTGTATGAAAAGGAAGGCGAGCTAGTGGCGCTGCTCAAATGCACCGTGGGTATCACTCCCACCGGAATCCAAACGCTCACCGGCTGCTCCTTGAACGTGGATGCCTACATATCGAATCACAAGATCGTCGACGTTGATTTAGAGGTGCAACCTGTTGGTACTGCTTGTGCGGCATCTGGTGTACATTGTTAACTATGCAGTCTTTAATTTAAGCCTTCTGTTGAGTTAGTGCTGGTGTTGATGCAGGAGGGGGATTTGTGACCATGTCATTTGCAGGCGCAGTGCAGCTATCGCGTGGAGATGCGCGTAGATCCAAAGTACCACTTCCAGCTGATCGGTCAGAGCGTGCAACTGAACAAAATTCGAGATGAGTTCCAGGTGGAGCTGCAGTTCCCGCGCAGTGACGCGGCCGCTGAGGATGCCGACAAGATCGTCATCGTCGGGCTGGAGTCGCAGGCGCACGCGGCGCGCGACAAGATCCAGACCATCGTTGAGGCCGAGGTGAGGAAACAGAGATGGTCAACTGCAGCGCTGCAGAATGTAATGGCGTTGGTGTCCGTTGTGCAGAAGAGCCAGTCGCAAGTGAAGGTCCCCCTGGACAGCCGCATCCACGCCCGCATCATCGGCGACAACCGCACCGGTCTGCAACAGCTGGAACACCGCTTCCAAGTCAAGATCAACTTCCCGCGCCGCGACGATGAGGACGCCAACGTGGTGACGGTGGTGGGCGAGGAGGGGAATGTGCACGCCTGCGAGGCGGAGCTGAAGCGACTGGAGGGCATCTACGTGCGTCCGCTGACTGGTTTTCATTCACAGCAGGGTTAATTCGCGCGTTTGTTGTTGCAGCTGAACGATGTGGCGAAGAAGACCGCAGGTGCCCACCGAAGCACGGCAACGGGCCCGGGGCGTCAGGACGCCAAGTCGAAGCGGAAAAGCCCCGTCGCGATGTCAGCCAAACCGTCCCGCCGTGGGCGACCAAAAAAGGGCGCCAAACCCCGCACTGGAGTGCTTAAGGGAATGCTACGAAAAGCCTTACGTAACCGTCACGTCCGCGCGTTTTCGGAGGAAGAGAAACGAGAAGTAGTCGGTGTGTATCGTACGTATCCAAGCGAAGCCACGGAAATTGCCAACATTTTGAACTGTACAGGCTTGTCGCGTAACACCATTTATTCATGGTTTGATGAATGTGAGCGCGCTTCCGGTCACACGTCGGTGGGAGGATGAGTTGTTGCGTTTTTGCAGAGGTACACAGACGTATGAAATGTTTGGTCATCATTGAATAAAACGGATCAAAGGATTGAACACAGATTGGCGTATACTATACTATATAAGACACCTTTATATGTACCTAATATTATAATGTACGTATACGAGGACAATTGGGTGCTGCGAACACCCCCTGCACGATTGGGCTGCGATGAACAGTCTTTATTATTTTGCAAGTAAGCGATTGCACCGCACTTGAAAACACATGGCTGTTATTACGTGATTCAGTATGTACGCAGCGCCGATGCCCGCTTTTGGAAAACACATAAATTAAAATAACGTATCTAACTCAATGCAGGAGATCGATTTAAGCGGTAGAACGAAAGCTTGTAAGCACTAGACAGCGGTCGAAAAAAGCAAGTGATTAAAGATGGCAGCAAGATGTTTGCCTATGTTACAGAATGTGAAGTACTCGTATGTAGAAAGTACGTAATATAATAAGTAACTTTAATAATACATGTTCACTGCAGCTGGCCAACCGGTGACTGAATCAGTAAGAAGTAGAATAGTACGTACAGCAATAGAATACAACATGAGTTGCTAGGATGTAAACAGCATGTGTACGGAGTACAACAACAAGAATTCACAAGACACCACACAGAATATGTTCTTCTTTATTGGGTTATTATGCGTGTAAAGTGCAAAGAAACGAAAACGTTCTTGGATCCATACTTCGAATACTGCCTTATATGGGCTCCCCTTATATTACTCTCCCTTATCTGGGCTCCCGGCTAGTTTGCAACACCCGTCAAATTAAATTTATCGGATTTATAGTAGAACCCTTTTCTACTTCTTTCAATCGGATTTACCATTAAGCCCACCAAAGAATTCCGAAATTTAATATACGAATTATATTTATATATTTTATTTATATATATTCTTCCATTAATTTCAACCGAATCTGCCAATGAACAAATTGAAAAATGCTACAAAATTACTGGCAAAATAAGTATTTTAAATAAATCAAAATTTTCAGTCAGTGATAACACACTGATAACAACTGCGAAAGTGTGAGTAATAACGTAACCGCCCATGTAGAGGGTTGCTCATATTGCTCGGGAGCCCAGATAAGGGAGAGTAATATAAGGGGAGCCCATATAAGGCAGTATTCGAAGTATGCTGTGTATTAAAACGTATCCATAGTCCGTACCGGTCTGACACTGCACTGCATGCACGTGTCCGTTCACGCTGCCATAATTTTCCCGCCAACGGAAAAAAATATAAAAAGTCAAAGTGACTGTGCGCCTCCGCAATCGAGGCGACTTGAATCCGTTGCGTAGGATAAGAAGGAAGCGCAAAAAAATACGCGACAGGTTCGGCAAGTGGAGGTTCCGCAGTCCGTCCGTACACCACTTCTTCCCGCGGTAATGCGAAGAGGGACACAGATCAGCAGCCACCATCGTGCACAGCTCTTAACCAACACAAAATGCACTGTACAGTACTTAAATCGGGTCCGTGCTCTATTCCTTGGATGTTTTTTGCATTCAGGCCATTTTCACAATATGGATTCGCCTACCGGATACTGAAGAAGCGATATTTTCTGCGTGGCTCCACATGACAAAAAATTTTTAAAACTGATTTCGTGATAATTAGTGCTCATACACGAAATACAAGCTTGTACACAAGATAACCGTAATAAAAAATTATCAGGTTTCCAAATGTGGAATAATACGAATCCGAAAGAGTGCATTGCGAAAGTGTCCGGAATGCGAAAAACGTCGATGTATGTATACTGTATTTCTCCAGTGAAAATCCAAGTCGATATTCGACACCATAGCCTGAAATAGTGTGTATTATTACACATTTTGTGTTCTTTTTCGCGTGAAGCGGACGAATGACTTTTTCTTAAAAAAGTCTACAAATTCCATTAAAAATAGAAAATTTAATTAAATTTGAATCTTACAGATCCCTCTCACCTTTTCTCGGTGGTTTTTAATTCTTCAATCTTGCACATTTAGAATGTCAAAAATATACGAAGCACATTCAAACTTATTATTGTTAAATTTATATCCACTAGTTCAATATCAAAGTCATCGCACACTAACCGCAGAGTAAACATGGAAAGAACTCAGAGTAAGCTCACTTCCTCTGTTCGAAGGAGATGGCTATGTGGAATATTCTGTATTGTTTCAATACTTTGGCTTTGGTTTTTCTCATGTTAAAATTGCCAAAGAATGCATTGGCACAAAAATATATTGGCCTGTTTGACGTGAATTGATAGCCACTTTTTGATTTTCGCGATCTTGTGTTACGCGGATGTATTTGGTCTTTTTTGTCTTGCAAACCGAGCGAAAATATTTCTTACTCGCCATATTCAAAAGATTTATGGACAAACAAGGCAATTCAGTAAAAAATAATCATGCCCTTAACATGATCCCCCTGGGGGTGCGCCGGGAGGAGTGTACAGTTTTAAAATTCCAGACTGCCTTCGATACTGTTGGCTGGGCACCGGCAGCACCGCCTCCACTCTGTTCCACAACGTGCTGGCAAAATACCCGTTTAACGGCAGGCTTATCTTAACGCCACGTCAACATCCAGCGTCAGTTGCGTGTCCTAGCTCTGGCAGCAGCAGCGTCAGGTCGTGCATGGATTTCACCGAGCTGCGGACCAGACTGATGGACTGCGGCACAGCGCGATGGAATCACAGAGATGACACTTAAAAGAACATGCCATCGTGGACCAGGTAAAGTCTTCGAGATTGTGCACATCGCAGCGCTCAGGTTGCTCAAGCTTTCGGATATTCGAAAACCGACCCGGGTATGTGACGACGAATCCGACTCCGAGTATGTGACGCCGACCACATGTAGCGCCGTCAGACGGATCGCGGGACGGGAACGCGACACGTGGCTAATCATTTTCAACACGGCGTGGAGGTCTGCCTGGTATCTGTAGATGCAATGAACGCGATCGTGTATAATAACGCGCTTGGTGGAGGAGCGCAGGCAGTAGAAGAGCGGCGCTGTAAGGGTATACAGCAGATCTGGCAAGCCTTTGCTGCCAGCGTCCGTCTCGATGATGATGCTGGCCATTATTGTTCCCTGGTTCTGTTACTATACATACAAACAATGCAATACACAAAGGGGGGTGCTTTATTATTTACTGACAAACACACCCGCTTGCAAGCGGGAACAACCTCTAAAAAAATCAATTTAAATCCCGATCGTTGCCGGACGCAGTGCCAAGTGTGAGCACATACACTGCGAACGGCTGCTATATATACTCGTACCATACACTGCACGCTGACCATTAGAATACTAACAGACCGAACAGACCACTGCGTTCCGCCCACCGTCACCAGGTCCAATAATATACAGATTATTATCAGCAGCACGACGCAGAGGCTCACGATAGTGAGGAAATGAGGCTTTATTGTGTGATAGCAATAAAGTACAACACAGTGCGTGAGCAAAATCATGACTAACTAGAATGATCGGCTGAATGAGCCGTAACATGGAAAATGCCTATCTGCGGCACTGGGCTGATCCAACACGAGCGAACGAACGCTGATTGGCCGAGACGTCAAGCCGTAGGCGTGGCAAGGCGTGGCCGAGCCGGAGTCGAGGCCGATGTGGCGTTCGACAGCGAGTGCGACTCGGTGTGAGTCAGCACACCGGAAGCGGGACTGTCGCTGGCTGCCTACTCGTAGGCTGCCATAGCGACTGGCCCAACATGCCTCTGGGCGGAAGTCCGGGCCCCTGCGAAGGACCGGCCTCATACCGCTCCAGTGCCCGCTCCGCACACGACCCTACTAGGGTCGGTGGCTGCGCCTCGGTGGTGTCCGATGAAGGTCTCTCGGTGCCGCGTTCTCCTCCGGACCCGTGGTGGCGATACAACTCACGGCAGAAATCCGAAGGTCGGTCGGGTTTCTTGTTGGACCGGTGTAGGCTTCTGTTGATGAACATCCGTAACGGCAAGAAAAAGCAAAGTAAAAATAAAGCATTTATCTCTGTTTCTCTCTAGTTAACTTCTAATAAAGCATTAGAAAACAGTAAAACAAAATTCTAGTCTTTGGTCCGGGTCTTTGGTCCGGGTGCTCATTCCGACTAGGAAGACGTCCGTTGCCGGGGTCTCCTGTCTTCAAGGTGTCCGGTCATTCAGGTCCGAGGCATAGGTTCTCGGGATACCCGATGTTACCGGTTCAGACTTCATCGAAAGGGTTGGGTAAGCCGGGCTTAAACTTAGATCCGACTGACTGACTTCCGGTAAGGTGTGGATATACGTGGCCGGGTGAGAAACGGGCTTGAAACTCAGTTCCGACCGGGGATCCTCCGTTTTCAGTTGACTGGAACCTCCATAGCCGGGTAAGAAGGGCTTAGACTTACATCCAGCCGGGGGTTCATAGGGTAATCTGGTGGGGAGGCACTGTCGCTGTCTGCGAAAGCCGTAACGCAACCTCCCTGGGTAAGGAATGAGGCCTATTGGGTCACTTGGTGGTGAATCATCCGGTGAAATGCCGGAATTCCAAAATTCTGTCCGGACAAAAACCGTAATTTCGCGTCCTGTCGCCTATTGGGCAACTTGGACCGGTTGATGTCGGGCTCTGAAGGGTTGAATCCGGGGGTAGCCTTGCACTGTAGGAGGGAGCCTCGGTTACTGATTCTAAGTCCCGAGTCAGCCTCACTTGCACTGGCAGATCGTTGTTTAGCGGTCTGGTGGCAGTTCCGGTTCATAAGGTGTGCTGATGGGAGAGGCACTGTCGCGAATACCGTAAGGTACCCTCTCTGGGTGCAGGATAAGACCTATTGGGTCTCTTAATCGGTGGATCGTCCGGTGATCCGAGGTTCTATCCGGGCATAACCGTGAAGTCGTGTCCTGTCACCTATTGGGTAACAAGGACAAGTTAATGCCTGGTTTCCAACAGGTTGAGTGGCTGGTGGACGTGGTTCACACTGCACCGTGCAGTGTGAACCACGTTCTGGTCCGAATAATGTTATGGCCTCTGTGCGGGAGTCCGACCCCTTATCCGGTTGGCTTCAGAGTTTTGAAGTCCGATGGT